AAAAATGCTGGGTGTGGTGGTACCTACCTGTATCTCAGCTACAGTGGGAAGCATAAAATAAGGATCACAGTCAAGGTCCTCCTGAGAAAAAAAGCAGGACCCTGTCTCCAAAATAACCAGAGTAAAATGGGCTGGAGGCCTGACTCAAACAGTGGAGTACCTGTCTAGCAAGTACAAGGCCCCGGTTCAAAGTTCAAATCCCAATACTGCCAATAAAAATAGGAAATTAAACCACAATAACCAAGCTGGGAGCTGGGACGTTCTCCAGCTACTCTCTTAATTGTGCTGGTTCTAATCACTGTGACCCCTGTGTGCTCCAGTATCTCCTCTGAGTGCTTTCCACATCTGTAAGGCCATATTACATATCTCTGTCTTATGGTTATCTGCCTAAAGCTCCCTGAGTGCAGAGACCGTTCTCATCTGCTATTGTGTCTTTCTCCACAGAGGATCAGTGTTCCTTGCATGTGGAGTGGTTGAAATTTCTAATTGAGCCATACGCTTCAGCTTGTGCATTGCGCTGTGGCTGCTCTGAGCCTCAGTTTTACCTTGTACAATAGAAATGATTTCAGACCTACCTCATCGATAACATAATTAGTGTAAAGTATTTCACTTGGAACTTGCTGCTATTACGACCAGTGCTTATTGGACGGAAAGACATGAATATAACCCCTTAGACCTTTTCTATAAGTTTGCTAGTGCTAAGTATGTTAAAGTATTTGATTTCTTTTCAGTGGAAATGAATTGATAAAGTCAAACTATCAAAAATTTTTTTCTCCTACAAAGCCTTAGGTTTGTATCTCTGACTGTAAAAGAACTGCTGGTTGATCCTTGCCTGGAAAACCTTTGTGCTCTGTGCCCTTGCTGTGTTTCAAATAGGAGAGATACTCGAATCTTTCCTATGAGTCTTCCACTATTGGATGTATTCTTCCTCCCCCAACAAATGACCATGATCTCTGAATGTTGCATTTCCAAATACAGCAAATGTTTGACTCTCTCCAAACTCCCATGTTGTAAAAGATTTTTTTATGTGAGTGTATGTAAGCATTCACATTTTGGGAAGCTTATATTTGAAAAGTAGCCTAACTTTTAGAAAGGGCTGAGATGAATTAGACTGTGGTTCACATTTCACCTCTACCACTTTCTAGCTCAATGACTTTGAACCAAGTCTCAGTTTCTTCATCTGTGATGGAGATAATGATGCTACCTCATGGAGATAGTGTAAAGATTAAATTACAAACGCACATAATAGCACCTAAATAATAGTTTATGAGATGCTTAGAAGTATTATCTCCAGGTTTTAGATTTTAAAGTAATTCCTCTGTTAAGTAATTTCCTTCAGTGCTGAGTATTGATTCCAGGGCCTTGTTCATGCCAGGCAAATACTCTGCCACTTCAGCCGTACCCCCAGCCCTCTTGTTTTTGAGACAGAATCTTGCTAACTTTGCACAGACTGGTCTTTTAACCTCATGTTCTGCCTCTGCCTCCTGCGTAGCTGGGATTACAAGTGTGCGTCCTCACATCTAGCTTAAGTAATTGTACTAATGTTCACACACACACACACATACATACACATATATATTTGTTAAAGTCAACGTGAAAATTTGTATGGAACATGTTTTTATCCACAGCATACTGTAAAATGAGATGATTATTACAATGTGTTTTTTGCAGGTATTTCCCTTTTCTGGCTAAACAGAAACCTGGGCATCCAGAATGTGATATCCTGACCAATGTCTTTGCAATTCTCTCAGCAAAGCATCTCTCTGATGCCACAGCCAGTATTGTGATGGATATAGTGGATGACCTTCTTACCCTTCCAGATTTTGAACCCACAGGAACAGTGTCAAGTTTGCCAGTGACTGGATGCGTATACACTGACATAGCACAGAACACAGAGGGTGTGTATGCTGTCCAAAGCAAATGATTCTTAGACTTTAGAGGTAGCAGTTTTTCCCCTCAGAAAAGAGAAAGTTAGTAACTTGTGCTCACAAATTTCTTTTCTGTGCACATGTAGGAATGCAGATTATTTCCTGTCTAGGAAGTTTCATCTATCCTCCAGGAAATTATTGAGTATTTTCCATTATAACATCCCAACAGTTCCCTTTACTGTTACTAAAAACGGTTTAAATAAAGCCTCAGGAGTCTTGTTCAAATTTGTTATTTAGCTAGTGACATAGCTCTTCTGAGTAAGAAAAAAACGTCTAGAGTTGAAGTTTAAGTGTTTATTAATAGTTGAGTGCTTTCCTTATCTGTCATCAAGATGATATCATACAATGATGCTTTAAGGGAGTTTATTAAAATCAAAACAATTATTGTCTTTTTCAGAGCCTATCACTATGGGAGGAAGATTAATTCTACCTCATGTACCTGCAATTCTTCAGTATCTCAGCAAAAGCACAATGAGTACAGAAAAAGTGAAAAAGAAAAAGAACAGGACACAAGTTAGTAAGGAACTTGGCATTCTTTCAAAGTAAGTGACATTAGTACTTAAAAGATAACGTCCATCCGTAGTTGTAATCATTTTTAAAAAGTTACTTCGCTTTTTAGTTGTTTAACTTGAACAGTTTAAAAGATTTCCAAAATGCAAATTAAAACCATGCTAAGATTCCACCTCACCCCTGTTAGAATAGCCATCATCAGCAACACCACCAACAATAGGTGTTGGCGAGGATGCGGGG